AAGCTGCCTGCGCACACATGAGAGACACGCACGCACGCACGCCAAACAGACACGTATTGTATGGAGAAAAACAAGATGTAAAGCCACACACACACACAAATGTCCCATTTAGATAAATCACCTTGGATTAGACCCACTTCCTGAACCTCATTTAAAAGTCTGCTAGCGTTCTTTGTGGAATGAGAGAGAGAGAGAGAGAGAGAGGGAGAGACACTGATGATGACAGTGCAGCGGGAACGTTATTAGCTGCAGATAGACTTTGTTCCTGAGGGTGCGACGTTACAGTGCGATCAGATAAACAAGAATTACGCTGCGAGTAACCCGCTGCCCGCTGAACTGAAACAACGAGCCTCAACGCAGGAAAAGAAAGGGAGGTTTGAACTTTGCTGACAATGTGTGTTCAATTACATATACGCTTTTATTGATTATTAGGTGTCACAGATAACTGTGTTGACGTTTTGAAAAATAATTACAGCCTTTCTGTTTACCAAAATGAATTTATGGTCATGTCAATATTCCCACAAAACTATATTTAAAGAAATTAGGTAATCATCATAGACTTCGGATTGAATATATAACATATATATATATATATATATATGGTATGGTGATATTTAATCATTCACAATAGACAATTACCTCCTAACTAATATAGTTCAGTAAAAAATGTGTATTTGTGTTCATAAACATTCAAACACTTTGCGCTCTCTCCGTTGCCGTTGGCGACGGCATCCAATAGATCATCGTCCCGACGTAATGATTCCGTTTATCGCCTCGCCGCAAACGGTCCTCACCCGCAACGTTTCCTGCAGCCACGGTTTGGGAGCCGCGTGTTCCAAAGATGTAACACAGGGAGCTCAATGAGACAACAGAGGGGGTTATAGAAGACGCAGCGGCGAGCATGGAGTAATGGGAGGTTTGGGGGGAGGGGGGTGAGGGGGTCGGGCGGGCGGGCAGTTAAGCCATTAAAAGAAAACAACTGCAACAGATAAGACGCATAGTGTGTATCACTGCAATTTCAACTGTGCACACTGCTGTTATTACTGTGCTGCCATCGTGCAGCTGTTACAATGGCCTGCTGTAGGGCAGACACCTGTTACACACACACACACACACACACACAATGGAGCATCGCAGCGCATCCCAGCAAAGTCTTGCTTTGTGCGTCTTTAATACGTATTTTGTCAGTAATGTAAGTAAGTGTTGCAAATGTCCGCTATAGTTGGTGCTGGTCTACATTTAGTCGTACTTCCACACAGACAAAGCCCCGTTGTTGAAAGGCCGCGGTCCAGACCGGACTCCCATGGTCCCGACATAGTCGTCTCCTTCCTGCCTCTTGGAAGGCAACCCTGAACGGAGCCATTACAGAACGAATCGTACCGCCACTGGCAGCGCTTCCGCCGTTGTGACCGACTCACAGCTTTCGTGTCACCTGTTCACGCTTGTGTTTTGTCTTCTATTATGAGCCTTGCATGGGACAAAGAAAGTGGAGACAAAGCTTGTCAAATCACTCCGATATCGTCCGATATATGCGTGTCATTTTTTTTTAATGACGGTAACGTCCTGGCAGACGAACCGTCACGAGCCGTCCTGAAGGCGAAACTCTTCCTCTCCATCCGACCTCCTGGCGAAGAGGAAATGATCCAGCAGAGACTAAACTATCACAACGGGATGTTGTTCTCAACGACAGCACTGCGGCTCTCCAGTGGTAGTACGAGCACAAGTAGCCAATGGAGCCCTTTTACATGCAGTGTGACCTCAACGTTGGGTTTGTATTGCGTTGCTTTTAGTGAGTGGAGAGCTCTGCCTCTTTATCGCCTGCAAGGTTGCATTCAAATACTTGGACCGCGGTGGGTGCACTCAGCTGTTAGTGGGTAAAACCGTGAGATGCTAAATGGAAAGCGGATGTTAGAAGAGGAGAAGGTGGAAAAAGAGGCTTGTTGTGGGGGGGGGGGGTTGCACTGTTGAATGGGAAAAAAGATTCCACGTTGTGGTGCGTCCACGTGACGAATGAAAAGAAAGTAAAATACACGGTGGCGATGAGCTCAACGGAGGGAGAGAAAATACAGAAATATCCCTCAACAAGGACGGGAGAGACAAATAATGTGAATGAGCCGAGTAGAAAATGGCAATGGTGAAAAAGCGAGAGGGAGCACGTAATGATCATCATAGAGAGAGAGCATAAAGGGAAAGGATGATTGATGGAAATGACTCAGAGGAGAAGAAAAGAGACGTGCAAAGGACAGAGATGAAAATTATACAGTAGATGGATAAAAACAAGGTGAGGTAAGAGAGAGGATAATAAGGTGATGAATAAAGAGGGAGGATGATTGGCTGAGTGAAGGCGGTGAGAGGAGAGAATCCGCGTGAGGACACAGGGGACAACAGAGGGAGACCACAAAGGGACGGATGGATCGAGACAAGTCAGAGACCTCCTGCTGCCCATTGTGAGACATTCAATCTCTTCTGATATCTGGAGCAAAGATGATTTGTTGTATGTATTTGCTGTCTGTTGGGTTATAAAACACAAGGTGCTTTCTCCACGAATCACTGGAGGAGCAAATGCGTGCGGGAATAAACGCTCCAGACTTCACTGCCTCTTACGCTTCATATTGTGTTGAATTGATTCATTCGATACAATTCTGTTCATTCAATTTTATGTGGCTTTATTGGCATTAAAGCTAATTTTTTTCATAGAAAAAACTATGTTGCCATAGAATCAAATTTTTAAAAAGTATACAATAATAACGCAATTCCATCCAATTTATTATACAAAAGCAGATCTCATTTAAACATGTTATAAATTATAATACAAACAATCAGGGTCCCTCATGCGGTTCGAAGGTAAACTGCCGATATTCATTCTTGGTTAAATACTATGGAATCAATTATGAAAATCTCCAGACCCGTCTCTGTCAGACTGACAGGTTTCACTGATGTCGGTCTCTGACTCTCAATAGTTCAAACAGACGTGTTCTTTAATCAAATCAAACTCCGATAGCAGGAATTCAACCCGCTCTATGACTGTTTGATAAACTGGGAATATTTTCCCCTGAAGCAGCAGAATATGTCAGAACATCCCATCTTCTCCGGGGAGGAACCAGCCAAACCACACACAAAGCTTCCCCGAACTCTCTCAAAATCTTCTTTTTCTCTTGTATAGTTCACAAAACTCTCTGATTCATGTTTTTTTTTTTTTTTTTTTGCGATGCGCTGATTCCTTCGTTATCGTCGCATAGTTCCATATGCACGGTGTTGCAGTAACGTGGGACCCATTTGTTTCCTTTTACTGTTAACTCAGAAGCATCACGCCTACAGTGTGAACCTCCTGCTGTGCGATCCGGCCGCGCGGCACTCAATTATGTTCATGCCAATAAAGTCAATTTGAATTTAGACAAGGACGGATGGAGACGGACAAGGACAGCAAGTGGGTGAAATGAGACGGGAAGCAAAGAGATGGCCTGAAATGGGGAACATCCGACAGCGAGGAAAAGAAGGAGGGGGAATATATATATATATATATATATATATATGTATATATATATATGTATGTGATGGTGAGAGGGAGGGAGTGGATGAGGTGAGGAAGGAACGGAGAGGAAGAAGAGAGCGATGGAGGGAAAATGAGCACGAGAGGAAGAGAGAGCGAGAGTCGCGTCTCGCTCTCATCCGTCACAGCGTTGTTTTCTCATCCGGCGGCGGGCGGCGGCCGCCTTTGTCACCGTGACGGATCCTCGCTGTCTGCACGCCGCTCGCCACCGACACCATTACAGCACATTACTGATGTACACACGCGCACGCACACACAGGGAAACGCACACGGAGAGGAGAGGGAACAACACATTTAACAGGCACAAGGTGGTAGCACAAGGTATTTAGCGCGCACACAAACACACACACACGTAACAATAGGTGTGTTGGAGTCAATGAATGCACAAAACACACCCTCAGATAGGAGCTGCATATACTGGGTGTAGATATTTTATCTTGGTTTGTTATCTAATTAATCTTGAAAAAATGTATTATGTCCTAAATTAATTTCTCAATTGATTCATACATCTATTAATTTTCAGAAAGTGGTAAACAAATTCCAATCTCTGTTTCCCAGACCCCACATTGACTCATTCATATTGTGTGTTTTGTCTGTTCACAATCTAAATATATTCATTGTAAGTACCATAAAATTCTAAGAAGACCAGCACATATTTAAATATATCAAAGCTGTAACCAGTAAACTTTTGACATCTTTGCTTAAAGAGTAATTTACTCTTATTTAGAAATAGCACTTCACTGCCCTCTTTGGTTAAAACCAGTTTCCCCCCCACAGAAATGTGCCTTTAACCACATTCTGTGATGTCACAGTGAGTTTTATATTTACCCTTTCAATGACTGATAAAATACCTGCGTATCACTTAAAGACGTACTGATTCAAATCAAGGGAAGTGACTTCAGCTAATGAAAGGCTTTGTTATCAGCCTCACTAGACAGCAGGAAGACGCACAATCCATTGACCTTTCAATTCTTCTGTTGCACCGGCTTTAAAGAGATCCTGTTCTTTTGCTGTAGTATTTATGATGTATCATGTGTGGATATTTCAGGAATCTTACACCTTGGGTGAAGCGGGCCGCGCCACGAGCCAGAGCCCCTTCCGATGTGGAGGGATAGTTGTTTCAGCGCGCACGCACACACACACACACACACACACACATACAGCCCATTTGCCTGCCTCGCATAGAGAAAAACCTGCATAGAGGATCGCGAATAACTCGAACAGAGACGTAAATACCTCATTATCTACACACAGACGCACACACCCGCGTACTCTCTCTCCCTCTCTCTCTTTCCCATCTTCTCATTGTCTTTTCTTGCTTTCATTAAAACCCCGCTGACAAACAGCAGCATCTGCAGCTGCTCTGAGCAGCAGATGTTCGACGTGTGAGACTGAATGTTAATGCGCGCTGTGTGTGAAATGCTAACGACGCTCCGTCATGTCTCCACAGTACTACGAGATGTCGTACGGCCTCAACATTGAGATGCACAAACAGGTGAGTGCGTTTTTCAGTGCACGTGGTTGCAGGTTGTGTGTGTGTCCCCTTTTTCTGTGTAGAAGTTGCATTCTTTGAGTGGGCGGGAGGAGGTGAAGGTGTTGTTTTACACGCACACACACACACACACACACACACACGCACACACACACACAGACATTCTGAGCACAGTGTCATTTTGTGTAGGTGGGTTTTTACAATATATATTTATATTTTAGATCCTGTCCTCATTTATATTCCGTATTTACAACAAGTTATCCACATATAAAGTGAACGTGTTGTTACAAAAACCTTTCAAAACAAAGTAGAGCTTCAAAATATACCCTTTATTTTTTTTATATACTATCGTTTCTACTTCTATCTCAGTGCATCTCCGGATTTGCAGGGTGAAGGAGAATCTGTTCCAGATGAAATTCCTCCTTAAAGATGATAAACAGGGAGGAGAAAAACGCGTTGACTCATTTTTTAAAAGAGAATGTAGAACCTATTAATCCTGAGGAATTTTTTGTGCCAGAGTTTAATTAAAGATTACAACACCATAATAGTCAAAAAGAACAAGTGGTTTCAACACTGCGCTACGGACGGTTTATTAGTTTTAATAAGGGGTCACTGCTCAACACCGTAGTTTACCTCTGCTTGGCCTCCGTAGGGAAAACAGACTTGAGGAGCTGCTGCGTGAAACCAGCCGAGTGTGTTTCAGGCACAATTACAACATCCCTCCCGACTCAATGTTTATTTGTACGGACCGCCTCTTCCTCGGCTATTACCAATGGCTGCCGATGTGAGATTTTGGGAATAATGATGCCATTGAGATGGCATGCTAGTGCATGCGGTAACCATGGCAACGTCAAATGTATGTGTTGCAGAGCCTGGTGGCGAGAGTCTGGTTTAACTGACACTGTCGACTGAACTCGGCTCTTATCGACAGCACGGGATGGATCGGCTCAAAGGCATTAAAAGCGAGATTATTATGTGTGTGTGTGTGTGGGGGGGGCAGCTGACTTGAGATCTGTTCTTCTGTAGACCTCTATACGGATAGACAGGATCATTATCCAGTTAAACGGCATCTTCCTGCAAGGTGACTGTGTCTCTCGCTCTTAATCCGTTTAACTGTCATACTTACCCGGCGGCGGCGGACTCGGGCGCGGTCACGCAGGACCGGAACGGACGGATTCCTCTCGCCATTCCGCGCAAAAAACACACACTCAGGAAGCCGCTCGTTGTTCGAAGCAATCTCAAGCAAATGAAAAGCCTCTGCACTTTAAACTTGCCATCGTTTGTGTTGTTTGTCGAGGTGAGTAGAGCGCATGAAGTGGCTGATGCTACACTCAGTGGTTTAAGTTTGGGATGATGCAAGATGGGTTTAAGAGCCAATCGGCGCGGGTTCTGAATGGCCCACATTCGCCGTATTCAGTCCCGATCCACATCCCGTGTTTATGGTCACGTGTTGTGTTCAGGTGAAGCTGTGTGTACAAAGCCCCTCTCTTATTTTACTGTAAGACTTTACAGGTGTGCTGGTGTATTCTCCAGAGTCGCCGCTTTTGGTTGAAAGCTGGTTTTGTACGTCAATATTTAATTTGTGATGGGATTAAGAGACGTCCTGTCTAAAAAACCTTTTGAAGTAACAGAAGCAAAGTAGCACATTGAAGCAACACAAAATGCTCTGAGACACCTGAGATTACTTTGATGGATTATCTTGGTTATTGTATAATTATGCTGCACACATCTGCTTGGATCCCAATGTGATGTCCGCTGCGAGCTTCTAATAGGAGATGGCTCGCTGCCGTGCGCACGATTAATTTGCACCATCTGTGGGTAAAGAGCACCAGAGAACATCGGCTGGTCTGTCACACCGAGCCTGATTGAAGATGAATGCTAACCATTACACGGAACAGATTATGCAACATATCCTTGAGGTAATATTTCATTTGAATAACTAGAGATGCAGATCAGGAACGTGTCAGCATTTCCTTTTTTTCTAGCTCCAGATTGCCTTCATGTTCCGCTTCAAGTTGAACTGAAAACCTCAAATGGGTTTTGTTTGAAAGTGGTAATTGTTTGAAATGTTCCCCTCTGCTCCTCGTGATTTATTCTGCATTCTTTCAAAATCCCGAGTCTGGTCCCGGTCTCGTGGACCAAAGACGTGAACCGCCTTTGAAAGCCGGAAACCTCCGGCGGGAATTCATGTTGTCATAGCTGCTGAAAAAGAAAGAAGAAGAAAAAGACACATGCTCAATAAAACTGACTGACTGTTGGGTGGATTGATTCCTGAACCCCGCGGCAGACACAACTATTGACAGAGCGATAATCAGGAGAGAGAGACTAGAGAATAAAAAGACCAAATATTGTATTTTAAAACTACTTTGAAAGTGTTGTTTTAAATCATTTCATGCAGTTGAACTACAGCACATCAACACTCTCAATTAACTCTCAATTAATATAAAAAAATAAAATATTATATATTTTATTGTATTTCAAGTAAGAGTTAAACTGTAGTTCTGCCAATTACCATAAAATGTCTCACAAGGGAATGTGATGTTTAGAACAACCTGAAACTGTAAATTTCAATTTTGCTCTTCTGTGAAATATAATTGGGGCTTTCTTGATGGTTCAACAATTACCATATTCATCACGTCACAAAATTCAAATGTGCAAAGTTAAGTCCTTCCTTTTTTAAATTCCGTTGACCTCAACCTTCGAATCAAAATGCAGGGAAAAGTTTTAGCTTAGAGAATAGTATTTATTACCCAACAGTGCAGACTGGAGGGGGAGAGAGAGGGAGAGAGAGGGAGACTCGGCTCTCTCGCCGAAAGGGGGAAAAGGACTCGGGTGCTGGACGGAGGGGAGGAGGGAAGACGAGAGAAAGGAAGAAAGGGAGGGAGGAAGGGAAGGTGGTTTGGATGACAGAAGGAGACCAAAGAGCCACAGTCAAAGTATAGAGACACTAAAAGAAGAGGAAGAGAGTGTGAGAAAGAATTATGAAAGTTTAAGCAACTGAAAGAAAAGTAACACAATGTGGAAAAAAAGTGATTCAAAGAGAAAAATAAGAGAGCTGTGAAAAGGAGGACCGATGAGGCATCGTAAAAGAGATCCTACTGGAGATGGACGGATCAGGACGGAGAAGAACACGAAGGAAGAACCAGGTATCAAGAGAGCGTGATAAAACACCAAATGAAGAAACTGAAGGAAACAATTGATTAAACAGACGGAATGAAGAGCGGCAGAGAAAAGCACGAGGATAAAGCTCAAAAGGGAGAGGTCTCAGAATCGAGGTTGTCTTTTTAAAGTGTACAGAACATCTCGGAAGAGAAAAAAGGGCCGTCGAGAGAGTCGGGGAGGATGCGAGCGACGGCGGCAGAGCCAACGTTGGAAAAAGTGTGAGGAAAAGTGGAGATGGAGATTAATTGAACAGATGAAAGGGGAGAGTGTAAACAGGAAGGAAGGACGGAAGAGACGGATTAAGACCTCAGAGAACAGATGAGGAGACGGGGATGAAAATCAGGGCCAAGGGAAGGAACGCAGCGGAGGGAGGGAAAGGGGGAGGGCAGTTTGGAGAAAGAGGGAGATGGGGAGAGACATTAATGGAGGGAGGGGAGCTCCGAGCCGCAGTGAGAAATAATGAATCATGAATAGATTTAACAGTATCTGCTCTTATTTCTCCTCCTCCTCCTCCTCTCTCGCTCCTGCAGCTTCCTCCTAACATCCTGTCAGTGCTATTGCCTCTCTCCCTGCTCTCACCCTCCTCTCACCCCTCTTTTCTCTATTGCACGCTCTGTCATTATCAGTGGCAGGGCCATCTCGTGTGCCGGCATTAATTGAGCTGTAACAGTCATCCCGTTCCTCCGTGGGCTTCCTTTCAGCCTCTCCTTCTTCCATCTTTCTCTCTCTCTCTCACCCTCTCCCTTCAGACTTCAGACTCTCCATCCCTCCCTCGGCTCTCTTTCGCTGTCTTCATCTCCTTCGTTTTGCCTCCCCCTTGTCTTCTTTCTTTTCCCCCTCTCTCTGCCTTCTTCCTTTTTAGAGGATTTCATCTAAAGGTAACTCTACATTTCTCCCCCCTCCTCCTCTTCTTCACCTCTATAAGATCATTGAAACACGCACGCGCGCACGGCAACACATAATCTCACTCCCATTATCATAACATATGTATATATTTGCATGTATATATATATGTTTGTATCCCTGGAGGAGCGAGGGAGGCTATAAGGACTTTAGCAGCTACCTGTGGTTTTTTTCTATATTCATATATGTGTTTACATATAAATATAAATATGCCTGTGCCTTCCGCTATGTGCAGACATGTATATTCAGTGGCTTTGTTATTCAGTCATACTCTGTGTGCTCACAGGACAGCTTATAGATACGATGATGATGTGCTGCATGTGTTGTTGTAGCGTGTGTGTGTGTGTGTGTGTGTGTGTGTGTGTGTGTGTGGCGAATGGATTGAAGGCGGTTTCGTATTGACTGCTGATTCTAGCAGCAGGATAACAGGATGACGGCGGGAGGGGGAGAAGAATGGAGGCTCTGTCAGACTCGTGTCCTGCAGGAGGTGGAGGCAGCTGAAATGCGTGTGACCAGAGTGCAGCCTGCAAAAAAAAAAAGAGAAGAAATCTGAAAGGCAGGAAGCGAATGAGCTACGCTTTTCCTTCCGTGATCAGCTAACTTCAAAGGGGCCATTAAGCCAATCAGAGAGCCTGCAACTGCTCTGTGCAGCAGTAATCATTTCTTATCGAGAATCAACGTGGAGGTTTTTTTTAACATGTTCAACTTAAAGAAAAGCAACCCGAGCATAGTTGGATTCGATCAGATGAGAAGTGGACCCGATTCCAATTGTTTTGGACTTGAACACACCCAAAAAAGGTGTTTTCCATCTTTAGATGCTTGTAATGCAGCATGGTCGGCCCTGATCCCCTCATTTAATAGTCACATTAAATCAAAGATTCTGCAGTTTGAACTGGAGCCCGGCTCTGATTAGATAGACGTAGTTTGTAGCAGCCAGT